AATTATACAGAGAAGATTCTCAATAGCTACCTGATGCCTGATTTTTGATAAGTGTCTTCCTGTAAGGGAGAACATCTAATGGCTGTCCATTATCGTAGCCATGGTGTAACTTGTCAAGTATGAGATGGCTGCTGACCTAACGAACAGAACACTCATGCTTTACTGTCACCCACTGCATTCCTGTTACAGTGATAGTAACATTCCAACATTCAAAATGCAAAGGAACATGGGCACTACAGTATAGGTTATTAATTGGAGAGAGTGACAGCATTTTCTGCACTAGTTTGAAACACTTATTATCAAGTAATGTTATTGCTATAGTTTGAGAAAACCATTTTTAAAAAGCCAAAATATGAATAGGAAGTATTCTAGAAGACCAGAAAGACTAAGAAGAGTCCACAAAAGTCAAGATTACATCTGTCCTGTCCATTTTAATAGCCCTAGTACGCCCAGCACAGTTTCTGGCACACACCAGTTAAGAGTGATTGAATGAATGAGTGAACACAAGGCCATCTACCTTACATTCTGTCATCCTATGCTTTTACTTTAGGGAGTGAGAGAATAATCTGAACATTAGACTAGAGAAACTGGCAAAGGACTCAGAATAGTGAGTGTATTTTAGGTTACTTTTACAACGTCAAGTTCTGTGTTGTTTTTACATTAAAATTCATTACTGGTGGGGCCATAATATCAGATCAGATATAACTAATTTTCATTATTCATACAAATAATAAACTCTAATTAAAACTCTAACATGAAAAAGCTTGAGTCCAGATTTCAACTCACCATCTACTTATATATATGTGTGTGTGTGTGTGTGTGTTTATGTGTGTGTATAGCTAAACTGATAAAATTGAGTTTTCCTTCCTATTTCTATTTCCATATCTTCCTCTCTGTATACTTCAGGAACTTGAATAGTCAGGCAACAGACAGCAAAACAGAAGACAAGAACATAAAGTTTTAATTTTATAGCATGATGAGAAAATAATAATTTAGACTCATGATAACATGAGGAAATTTCTACTGTTTTACATTATATAGAAGAATGCCTTGGACAGTATGCCAGCAAAGTACGAAAAAATCACATAAAACAGATGCATCGTAGCAAGGAATTTCATTTCCATTTTTATTGGACATATTTACTAAATTCACTCACATTGTATAACAACTCATGCATAATTCTGATGAGTTGTTACTTCCTTTACATCAGCCTTTTAAGTTGATATGCTTTCCTTAAATGACACTAACAGAATGTCAGTCACCTTTGAAGGCTAGAGGCTGGGGCCATCCTAGGGGCTGTAAACCATCCCTTGCAAAAATAAGAAAGCTCTTAATTAAGCATCCCCAGCAACTGCAACTCTTCATCTTTTCCACAGAGACTGCCTGCCTGGGGAACACCAGCTCCCTTTAAAATCTCATTTCCACTTGAAGAGTGCTATTCCCAAACTGCCTCTTGCCACTCATTCCCGATGTATATGGATTCACTCCAGGATACATCCCAGCACGAGATCAGTTAATAAGCATTCCCAAAGGGGGACTCCTCCCTGCTTGTTGTTCCCTGGAACTCCATGAGGAAAACTAAAAATGGCTCTGCCGCCTTCCTTTCAAGCTGAGGGACAGCTATACTGTCATCACCCTTACGCTGGAGAATGGGACTTCAAAACCCTGGTGGCTTTTGATTCAACATAAATACTTTCCCTACTAGAGACTTCATTTAATCCAGCAGCTTCTGAGTCGGAACCAAACACCTTCTGACCTGAGGACAACAGAAGCCAGTCTATTAAGTGACAGGCCTTCTGACATGCTGCCCACAGGAGCAGCTGGACTCCGAGTCAAATGATTTTCTCCCTGATATCCTGCAAGATGAATATTGAGATGATAACTGGCATTATGAAGCATTTTTCACAATGTTTATGAAGACTAAAATATATAATTTATTAATTTGACCATTTTTATAGTCCTGTGGTACTTATGTTAAATACAATTTAAAAGAAAAAATTTTATATGTATATATACGTATACACACAAAAACACACATATATGCATATACATGTCCATTTAAATGATTTTTTTTTTCTTTGACAAGCACTAAGAGCCAATTTGTGAAGGAAGATAGAGGTAATTTTCCATGCCACAAATCAAATGTGTAGCTTTAGCTTGAGGCAAATCTTTGTATATTTTGCTATAGGGGTAATGATACTGAAAGATGTTTAGTTTAAAGGGTTTGTATTTTAATTTTTAAAATGAGTCAAGTGCTATTTATTTCCCCTTTAGCCCTTCCTCTGCAGTTTCTTAACAAATCTAATAATACAGAAGGCTAGACATGCTGAGTACAAGTATGAAACTGAAAATGACATTTCCTACTCACACTGCAGTCTAAAGCAAAGGGCTTGGCATTGCAAGGGTAATGTCTGGCTACGGGAGGCTGTCTGATGACAGCGCATACTTTTATCAGGGCACCCAGATAGTTGCAGGCAGAAAACAAATCCAAAACTAACAAAAATATGGATTAAAAAATTTACAAATTCAGATTCACAGAATATTTGAAACTGAATTAAAAGAGTTTTAAATGATACATGCTAGGCTTAAAACTTTCATGACATGCAGAAATGTGGGTGATGGGTGTGCCAATTTTGGAGTGTTGCTACTAAGCAAATAGCTAATTCTAATCCTTCCGACTAAAGTTAAAATATAGAAGACAGTTATTACAGATTAATTGGGAGGAAAAAAATCTCTGTATCTTTAGGGAATGACATTAATGAGACTCCTAGGAAGCAAGGGCAAAATCTCTAAATAAATATCTTGACTAATTTCAATAAGACAATTTGCAGTTAAAACAATTAATTATGTGCAGACCAAGGCAGATAACTGGCTCCTTAGAAGAAAAACATGTCCTTGGATAAAAAGATAACAGCTGCTGGAACTTTTAAGTTGCATTTTGTTTATTTGTTTTACCTGAAAAACAACCCAGTATTTCTTAGGAAATTCTATTGTTCTAATCATACGTTCTAAATACCAAACATAAGGATAACTTAACCATTTTTATTAACCAGATCTCTTGAAAGCTTTAAAAGTTTCTCACTGAGCAACAGATCAAAACTAAAAATAGGAAAGAAGTGTTATTTTTTAATCCAAAGAAAGAATATGGTAACATTTTTGTCCAAGTCTATGGTAGTAATAAGCCTCTAAGACACATAGAAGACTTGGTTCTCACTATAAGAGTTACAAATCTGTATTTCTACCAAGGAAGACAGAAAGCTTACTATATGGAAAAATTTCTAATAATTGGCTTAAAATCTACTATAAAGGACTTTCACTTATACAATATTTTAGCTTCTAAGGCCTAAAGAATTTGCCTTTTGTTAATGCCAAGTCTCATTTTTAATAAAGTAGTTTTTCATCTTTATTTTCTTTGGACTCCTACCTCTATGTGTGATTCATGGGATTCTTGGAGAGCAGCCGGATTTAACAGGAGAGAATCGGGCAAGGCAACAAGAAAAATCTTGACATGGGACTGATACTATAAAGAGGAATTTCAGCTCCTTAAACCTTTATTTTATAAACATATTGAACAAATACAGGAAACAAGGCCATAGAAAGTCAGGCTTGGAACAAATGGCAAGTTAAGTAAGAGAAACAGATAAAATTGTGCATATTGACCATAGAGGAAGATGGTGTAAGACTGATCCCTCCAATATGGCAGCCACTAGCCACATGCAGCTAATTAAATCTAAATCAATTAAAATGAAAAATCCATGTCCTCCCTTGCACCACAATTCAAGTATGTGATAGCCACATGTGGCTCATGGCTACTGTTTTGGACAGTACAGATACAGAACATATCATTGCAGACAGTGCTGGTTTAAAGGCTGGAGAAAGAATAACCTAAGTCTGGAAAGTGGGCACAGCAATCCTGCTACCTTTGGATAAGAATTTCTTTTTTAATATGAAAGAAATGAAAATGAATATCCTAAAGTTTTCTTTATTTTAAACTCAAATGTGTGGGGTATGGATTATGCTAGAAGGTTCATAAGTGCATTACATATACCATCTTGTTTAATCTTCATAGAAACCACAGGAGGTAGGCAATATTATAATCCCTACCTCAGAGAGAGTAAGTGAGGCTTGCAGAGAGTACGTGAATTACTCAAGGCCACATAGCAAAGACGTGGATTCCAAGCATGCTTTCTCTCTCCAAAGCCAGAGCTCTCAGGCTGTCTGTAGGAACTCCATTTGGGATGAAGACAGCGAGATTGTGCTCTAGACACTGCCACCACACGTGCTATGCCACAAGTGGTAGGCCACAGCCTGAATGGATGGCTCCTTCTCCATTAGCATTCATTCTCCTTCTGGCCTTGTATCTTCTTGATGTTGGGCATGATTATTTTCTATTAGCAATGGAACAATACTGCTTCCTAATTCCATTCCTGTCCCTACCCCTCCACCTATCCACCCCTCAGCTTTCCAAGTCTAGCCATTTCCTTTCAACCTTTCTCCTGACAGGTTATGACAATGTCCCGATCCAGTTGAACGTCTCTCAAGCTTCATTTTGTTAGAATAGAGTAGTCGCCACACAGAATATATCTGGTGTTCCAATATTATTTCATAGATAAAGGTATTAATCTCTTAAGTATCTTGTTAAAAATGACTTCATGTTACAGAAAGAAATTCTAGTTCTGTAAAGTATTGCATTTGCAAAAGGCTGAGCTCTGATAAAGAATATTTCCTCTTAGATTATCTCACTGGTCCAGGTGAACCAAGTAGGTACTCCTCCCCTTAGTTTAGAATAGCTCAGCTTTTATTTATCAAATTGCTTAGAAAATAATTTATCATTTACTACATGCCAGTAACTTTAAAGAGCTCTTTTTCAATTGCTCTAATGGCTGACATCCCAACAATACTACCCGGAGATGAACCTATGTTTTCTGAGGACCTTGCAAGAGCAGTTAGGACAGCCAAGGACAAATAAATGAGCACTGCTTGAGCCTCCCACACCTTACCTGCGGGGCGAGCCATCATCGTGGGGCTGGATGATGACCACCTTCACAGTTACAGAAGTCCGGAGCAGGTCAATCATCTGCTCATGGGTCAGAGTGGCCACGGCCACTTTGCAGATCTCCACCAGGCGACTCCCTTGGCGAAGACCAGCCTTCCAGGCAAAGCCAAAAGGTTCCACATCTGCTACAATTCCTTCAAAATTCACATGGAAGCCAAGCTGGCCCAGCCCATTCCTCCTCAGGGTCATTTCCACAGTCTCGCAGCCTCTTGTCACTATCTGAGAGAGAAAGTGACTGTTAGAGAAGCCCTTCCTGCCCAGGCCACCGCAGGGCCCTGTCAGAGGTGCACGTATAGGCCTCCATACCAGACCTTCTCCCTCTAGTCCTCGCAGCCTAGAGAGTACCTGCCTCTCTCTGCCTTTCCCTAGAACTGTCCAACAAAGAATTACCACAATTGACCTTGGCATCAAGTGCAGAGAAAATAACAGGAGCACAACAATAGTCTCATTCTCCAAAGGCATACCTATTCCTGATACAGGTGTCCTGCTTTTTTTTAGAAGCCACTGACCCAGAGACTGGGAGCTTCAGATGCGTTCTGATAATTCCCTCCTCTCCTTTCTCACGTCAATTGACTTGGCCCTTAAGCATATAAATTCCATTCTTCTAGATGGATTACAGCAATGGAAAAAAATGTGAAGTATTTGGAAATTATTCCAAGTTTCTATCACTAAGCACTAAAATCTATTAGACAATTTCATTCATCTCAAAAAGAACAAAAAAAAGGTCCAAAGCACTTCCAAGCTAACACTTAGTGGTCCAACCCTAGGTTCAGGAAGGGCAACAGCAGAAAATCAGAAGTGTTAAGAAAACTCTAAATGCTCTCTGTGCACCAGCCCTGGGGACATACTGTGGAGGTCCTGTCCCCTAGGGCCCTTCTCCATGCTCACTGCGGTGGAGGGGACCCAAGATCAACAGTGGGGGCAGGCTATCCAGACTCGCTGGCCATCTGTTAAGAAGGGAAGTGTGCAGGACGGCACTCTGGCAGGTGGCAGAGGGACCCTCTGTGCCCATAAGCTGCCTTTCCTCCACTGGGTCCATAACCTGGGGGCCAAGGGTGAGCCCAAGCAGTGGAAGCTCCAGTGCATGTGCCTTTCCCAAAAGTGAGAGTCTACAACAGTACCACAAAAAGAAGCAGGAGAGAAGAAAGGTGGTTTGCATACCACTCAGTGCACTAAAGCACCAGTAACGCAACCCTCAAAAGTGCTTACTGAGCATAGTTTACAGGCAATGAAAGAAAAACACAGGCTCATTAAATATCATTTGATGACTATGACATCACTTATTTGTGGGAAATTTCAAGTCGGGAGGTACCACATTCTTATCCTCAAAAGACTAGAGGCAATGTATGAAGTTCCAGTTTAATGAATGCCCCATTTCCATGAAGCATGCTCTGAATACATAGATACCTATTTAATAAGGCCTATGACAGTAAGTACAGCTGTGGCACTGGGGCTGATTCCACATATCACCACAGTGTCTGATGTTTCCATGGTCACCACAAGTACACACAGTGCCAATCAGTTTCTCCCAGACAGGCATGACAGTCTGGCACTCAGCAAAACAGGGAAAGGGAATGCTGGTTTTAGTTAGTCGTGAAGTTTTGAAAGATTGAAGTTTCCAAGGTTATGAACTGAATTAATTTAAAACTGTTGAAAAAGTACTTTTGTAATATGTACAATAAATATAAATTTTACCTTCACTTTTTTTTCAACTCTGTTCTAAGCAATCCTACCAAAGTACTACATATAACATGTGCCCTGCCTTCTTTCAAATATCAATGCAATGGGTGAAATTTCACATCTCTGTGTTAGACTGAAAAGTACTCCAGACTCCGGCTCTTCTGCTTATTCCTCCAGCCACCAGCCACCTGCCACCTCCTCTACTTGGGCTTCTTGCTATTTCTTTATCCCCTCTGTTCCTTGCTTCTTTCATCCTCAAAGTCTGAAGGACCAAGTTTTTCCATTTATTTGGATTCCTCACATACCTCTTTGGACTCAATTATCACATGAAAATAGGGGCCTCCTAGCCATATACCCAGGACTGGCTACAGGATTTGTAGAGCCCATGCAAAATAAAAATGCAGGGACCCTCGTTCAAAAATTATTAAGAATTTCAAGATGGCAACAGCAGAATGTTCAACCAAGCATTGGCTCTTCTGAGAGTGGGTCCCTATGCAATTGTGCAGGTCGCACATCCACGAAGCCAGCCCTGCCTGGCCCTCTAGGCATAAACTCTCACTTCTCTTCCTGAATCCTAACCTGCATAACAGACACCTTTAGTTCCATTTTCCATGACCTGAGAATGGACACTGAGTTTACCATCAGCCAAACAGGCACTCATTCCCAGCATCTCTACTATGACTGCATCCTCCTTTCTCTTCCCATGTCTGCTGTGACTGCCCTGTACCAACCCTTATGATCTAATCATCTCGATAGTCTCTCAGTTGGCTTACATCTAGTATCTCATGTTGCAAGTCATCCTAGACACAGAATATAATTCCTAGAATATATTTCTGACATTAGACACCTTAGTCACATTAACAATACATTCTTCTAGGAAAATAGTAGGATGGGGTCCATGGAATAGAGAATGTATAAGAACCCATGGGTAAATACCCATGGAAAGTATATTTTGGTAGTTAGTGAAGTGGCATTTGTTTCTGCCATATTTTCAGGAGCACAGATTATGGTGACTCAGTGGATGTGCGAAAAAGAAATATTTGCAATTACGAGAAAGGACAATGTATCCTGAGACTCACAGTATAAATGACAACTCAATTCTCTAGACATATAAACTAATTACATACTTAATCATCCCTAAATGCAAGTCTAGGTTTGTACACATATACCTGATAATACTGTTGAACACATTTTGCTTTAAATAGTCTCTGCAAATGATGGAATTATTTTTCTAAGACTAGCAGGTACTGACCTGATTTTGTTTTTTCTTGTACATGGTCTTTAATACCAAAATAAGGACTTATATTTGGTAGAAGGAAAAGTAACACGAAATGGATATAATTTCTCCTTTTTATATGATCCGTAGTTGACTAAATCTTTTCTAATAACAACAACAACAATTAAAAATACATCTCGCTTGGAGGAGTATTTATGCATAATAAGGTCTATTGTCAAAGAGCATATTATCTTCTTATACCACCAAAAACAATAAAAACTGGAAATAGTTTGATTTATTCTTATTACTCTACTATATATACCCAAACTAAAATCTGAATCTTACCTTTGTTAAAACTGAGAGCAGAAATATAACTATTAAACACCATGGACATAACTTAGTGGTTTTGACCAAAAATCACATTTTAAAAAGAATCTTGGGC